AAGACAGCCGCTACTTGGGGAAACAACAATTTAATTTAAACATCAACACCAATTTACCATTGAATCAGAGTAGGATAATGAGAAAAACAACCACATCTTACAAACACCTTCCCGCAACTCTCCCTTCTTCCCAGGCTCAGCTCTGTACCCGAATACTCTACCTCCTCCTCCTAGCAGTGTAGCGGGGGCCAGAGGTGTGTCCAGCTTGGACCTGGGGGAGCTTTTGAAGCTTCTTACAAGAGCCACTCCATACCCTCTCCCCTGCTACCAAAACCCCACCAGACACAAGCCCAACACGACTTTGTACCATTCCTTGCAGCTCTTTGAGCTGACATGAACACTAGAATTTTCCACTCACCTTCTCAATCTCTCATCCCACCTGTGGAAGAATGCAATGGCATGCTGAAGGAGCAAAGTCCTGAAGAACACAACCCACATAGCTCATTTGTTACCAGGTCAATACTGACAAGATGAGGATTTCCCTGTTGGGTAACATAAAGAATGACTGCAGCTTTATACAGGACCTGGTAGCTTTCTCTCCATGCAGAGTAGGAGTGAGGCTGCTACCTCATGGATAGGGAGCCAGGAGCCACAGGTAGCCCCAGTGCAGGCCGAGCAATTGTCACACCAAAAAGTGCCAGTCCACAGCACCAGAGGAAGGAAAGATGAGATGCCTGATGCAGCTGGAGAGCCCTTGCTGTGAAAGGCCCACAGAGGAGCATCCATGGAGATCTCCTCTCTTTCATGCAGCTTTTCAACAACAAAAAGTTCTCTGGACAGCCTCAGTGGTTCCACAAGATGGCTCTCAGCTCTTGGAAACTGTGCTGGACAGTCTCTACATGACTTTCCCCAGGTTAGCTGCAAGGAATATCACAAGAAATGCCACCAAGAGGAAAGAGATCACCCCGAGAGAAATGGCATGCAGACTTTAACAGGGGCCTTTGTTCCTGCACCTCTTGTATTCATTGCATCTCAAGGGGAGACTTCACCAGGAAGGGCAGAGGAAGCATCACACTCCACCTCGCATCCTTTTTGATCCATTTGAGCTCATTGCTACCAGCAGGCCATCTCCTCTGACCGCTTGTTAGTAAAGAAACTCTCTGTCTCCTCTTCCTCCCTCACCACCTTTCCTGTGATGACTGTGCCAAGGAAAGAATGATACTGACAAAAGCCAGGGCCAGTGTGCTAAACAGCATCCCTTCTACTCACAGCTGGCAGATCTGCACACATCCTGCAAGGCATTGGACCGGAAGGCAGAGAAATCAGAAAAGGAAGGTGCCCACACATCAAACTGCTGGATCGGGCAGAAGGAGCACCCTCGGTGCTGTAGGTGGTGCCCTGGCCCTCCCTGCTCAACCCTGCAACTGCTGGAGGCAGAAGTATGGCCCCTTGCTTCAGCCCTGCCCTTCTCCACCACAGCTGCCTCGGGACATCTGCCTTGGGTTCCAGCAGAGCATAAGCCAACAAAACAAGCACAGCCTGAAGCTTCTCAAGAAAAGAAAACATACTCCAAGATAATTTAGTTCCCTACAAAAAGGACTGCAGGTTCCTGCTCTTTTTAAGCAGAACAAAAGCTCCTGGCAATGTTTTTATAATTAAGGTAACAAACCTTTAGTAACATAAATGGAATAGTATTTGTTTCTACTTCCATGGTTCTAGAAACTAGGTTATGATAATACTTGTTTGCTGCTACTTCACAAAGGATTGCTCTGGTAAATTTCTTCTGCTTGGCTAGCATGAGGTCTTAGCATAAGAGCAAAGAATCCAATCTTGCCTGTGTTTGAAGTTTTTGCTTAAAAATGCAGTAGCAAAGACAGAATTCAGATGTGTAAGGGAGAGAACTAGCATGTTACAAGTCACGATGGAAAGCATAATGGAGAAAAATTATTTTCTTCTAACATGGATGGTGTCAAGCTAGCTGGGGAAGAAGCTGACTCATGCAGTGGCAAGCTGAACCTATTTGGAATCCCTTGTGGCATGCTGAGTTATTAAAATCAGTGTGTTCTGAATGAAATAAAAGAGAAAAGAAAGTGATAGCTAGAATAGGTGAGAAGTTGAGAGGAACTGGTTATTTTGATTTGAGAAAGCTGGTGTAGGGTTATATGAAGTGATTTAACACAGGGTAGTTGAAAAACATGCTATTTTCAGGAATATTCTCTCACACAGCTCCATTTACCAGCATATACACTGGCTGAACTTAGACTTACCACTTGTCTTGGTGCCTCAGGTAGAAGTACCTGTGCCATAAGAGATGGTGAGTATTCATTTCACTCCTCCATTGCATTATAAACTAAAATATGAAACTTCCATTAAGGAAGCAATCTCTGGCATTTTACAGGTGTTAGAAATATAAGCCTGTGCATATGTTTACCTCTAGTCTTATACTCCTGTAATGAATATATTAGCAGGTAGACCAGAGAGGTTGTAGAGTCTCCTTCTCTGAAGACTTTCAAAACCCTCCTGTATGTATTTCTGTGCAAACTGCTCTAGGTGACCCTGCTTTGGGTGGGGGGATTGGGCTGAATAATCCCCAGAGGTCCCCTCTAACCCCTACCATGCTGTGACTCTGTGACAATGTTTTAAGGGCAGACCTTTCTTGCATATAGTTGAATATCAGACAATCTTTCTAGCATAATGATCTGTTAGGTCTACTTGGAAATAAAGTTGTGCTTTGTAAATTTGTTTTGTCTTTTTGTTCTAGGTTAGAGTGGTCTGTGCTTCAACCACAGGCAGAGAAATAAACAGCAATCTGTGCTCCAGCTTCATATCACTCGGTTACCTCTGCCAGTCGTTGCTTTTAATGAACTGTTTGTTTCTAAATTAAGCAATAAAGATAGACGATTAGGGCAGGCACTGTCCTGAATCATACAATGTTACTGCTATGCTTTGTTCCATGCAATAATTAAGTACCTGGCTGAGTGGGGAAGAACAATTTGTTGCTCCTAAAATAAACACTACCACCACCCCCCAAAAAAAAAATAACCCACACATCCCCCCTTCCCCTTCCCCGCCTCCCTCCCCAAGTATAACTGTTCTGTGAGGAAGAGTGGAAAACTGATGTCTTAAAACAGACAAGGGAATAAAACACTTGGGCCACCTATATCTCTATAAGAAGACTGGAAGAGACTATCTTCTGTTTTCCCCCTCTGTAATGTTTGTGACACCCATGATGGCACCCCCAGCTCTTCACTAAGAGGGAAATGTAAAAAACTGTTTTGCAAGAGGAAAAAAAGAGCTCGGGGTGGGGGGGAGATACAATGAATGTGCACAGGCTTACCTTTTTTAATTAGTAGAATGTTTGAACTCATATGGTATTTACAGTTTTGAAAATAAATACTTGATTATTATTTATGGCAATAGCTGTAGCAGTATTTAATATTTTTCTGGAACTAAATATTTTTTTTTTTATTGATTTCATGATGATTGTGTTATGCTGTGTTTACCTTCTTCAGCAGTATTTTTGCAAAAGTGATACGTCTCCATGGCCGCTTTGCACCTAACACTTCAGGTCAGTTTTTCCAAAGCTGTAAACACTCCCACTAAATGAAAAGACTTAGTCCCATGCTATGTATTTTATATCCTGCTCTGGTTGTTCTCACTCTTTAATACTGTCATAGGTGATAGGAGATTCATTTTTTCCTCAAACTGGCAGTACACCCCACCCAAGGTTCCTTAAGTAACATCAGGGCACCCATGGAGTTTGCTCACATGAGTAATTGTGCTCAGCTTCATTTATGATTCTTTAGACGATCGCAAATATCAGCGTGCTGAACACAAAGGAAGTCCTTAAATAGTATTGTAAATCTGCTCAGAATGACTACCGGGCTGAGAGTGAAGGCAGCCACACGGCAAGGGGTGCAACAACAGAACCAAAGACAGAGCCACGTCTCACACTGAAAAAAACAGTTTATCTGACCTCTTCACCAAGATGTAATCACCTGCAGAGAACTGCCTTTGCAACAGCATAGCTCTGCATAGGAGGCTGGGGTGGCAGCAAAATGATAGTTTACGACTAACTTTCATCAAAATAATATCAAAGAAAGCAGTCAGATTTCGCAGTGTACTGTGCTAGTCCTGACCTCCTCTATCACATGACTAGGGAAAGCAAAGAGCTGGATTTTAGAGTACATTTTGTCTTCCCTACTACTTCTCTTCCCATTCAGTGTCAGAATTCAGACCTGTGCTCTACTGACGCTGGTATTAATTACTGCCCAGTTACTCACACGGGGAGAAAACTATATTATTTCATCCAAGTATTTAGCCTGTTCCCACATGAGTATTTGTATTTGCATGGCACTCACTGTCTCTGAGATCAAAGACTCCTTTAATTAGCTGTGTTTACCCATTAAAATACACATAGGTATATTATTGCATCTGCACATTTCTATACACACACATACACGTTTTAATGATATGACATCTGTCCTTTGAGTCCAAGTGGTCAAAAGAAATGAAGGTGAGGAGAAAGAAAATCTTTTCCCTGAATGAAAATATGTAGAGAAACTTTAACCAAATTTTGGAAGTATAACTCATACTGAGGAGACAGAATGGCAGTAGTATTCAGCAGGTCCCTGACCCATCATCGATAGTATTATTTTATTTCAACATGCTTTTCCACTGCTAAAATATTAAGAAACCAAGAATACTTCTGTAGCTTTTTCTTTTAAATTATCATTATACGTCCTGTAGAATATTTGAGAGGGAACAGATAGTCTAACACACATATAATATTCTAATATCCAGCTGAAATAAAAAGTGGAAAGAAAAAAAAAAAGACAATGAAGTCATAAAGCAGAAAATGAAAGTGGTAAGTGTCAAAAGCATGCACAAGGGGGAAAACCTTAAAAACCAAAAAATGATGAAAGAAAACTTCTCCCACAGAATAATTAAATTTCAAGATTTTGAAGAAACAGGAGCCTACAAATTACATTGAAAGCATCCCAGCCTGTCTTTCAGAGTCTGTACACAGGAAAGGAGGAACTCAAGAGCTTATTTTTATCATGAGCATTTTTGGCTTGATACAAATTGGCCTCATACTGTTGTGCACTGCCACCATCTCCAGTCTTCAGTGTAATCATCTTCCTTTCCAGCAAAGAAAAGCGATCAAGAACAGCCTGCAACTTTTGGACAAAATGGGCAAAAAATTTCCTCAACAATGTCTAAGAGAGAAAATGTTCTTCAGATTTCCTGAGCAGGTTCTAAAGCCCAGACAGAAAGAGACTGTCAAAGTAGCCATTGAAGAGATCTTCCAACATATCTTCTATATCTTTAGCAAAAATCTGACTCTAGCTGCTTGGAATGGGACAGCTTTAGAACAATTCCAAAATGGACTTTATCATCAAATTGAGCAGTTGGAGGCATGTGTAATCAAGAAGCAGATCCACTACTTTTGGAGTAAAGAAATGGACAGGCTGAAACTGAAAAAGTACTTCCAAAAAATAGACTGTTTTCTTAAAGACAAACAACACAGCTTGTGCTCCTGGGAGATCAGCCGTGCAGAAATGAGGAAATGTCTTCAGTTGATTGACAAAGTCATAAGGAAGCTTAACAACTAAGGTACAAAGATTTTGACCTGACATAACTTAGTTTTAAAAATATTTATATTTATTATGTATTCTATTATCTATCTTGTGGCAGTGCTTCTAGTTCACTGTTATTGTATTTAAATAATTATGTTGCTGAAAGTGATTTTTGCACATGTAATGCATATTCAACGTAATTTAATTTTCCCTTGGCAAACCAGGTGTCTACACTAGCTACTAATTAATCTATATGACTTTTCAGTGACGGTTACTCCATAGGAGGGGATTGTAGTCTTATGACAAATAGTCGTCAACCTATGGTGCTTTCTGCTGAAAAAAATGTGCTGCTACTTTCCATTTCTATTTTAACTACACACAGAGAATCATGTATTTCTGATGGACTACACATCCCTCACCTTACAGAAATTGCTAGATTTTGGTACTGATTGAGACTATGCAGAAAAATAAAGCAGTGTACTCTTTGTTTAAGTGGTCCTGGCTTAGACTGAGTTCATTCATTAGCCTTTCAAAGTCTGTATTCTATTTTTCAAGAATTTTTTTTTGGTTGTTTTTCTTTTTTACATTTGGATCATTCTACCATTTGCTTTGTTCAAAGAGTTAAAGTAATTCTAGAAGGAATTGTCTACACAGGATGTTGTTTGCCGTAGCTACGGCTTCTGCAGTAACCTCTCAATTGGACATTGTTCTTTTAATCAAAGTATCTTTGCCTCCTCTAACTACCTGGGAGGAAGGCTTTTTGTCCTTCCTAAAGTGTTTCCAATTCACTTTAACTTCTTTCACAAGCTTGTTTGAAATAAGCTCTACATAAAAGTACCCTGAAGCCACATCTGCCTGTGGCACACCAGGCTTGCTCATCAAGGATGTATTCATCCTGGCTACTGCACTCGGTCAGTGCTGTGTTTTAGTGAAGCACGAAATTTTCTGCCTCTTCCCCTTTGTTCGCAAATTGGCCCACAGAAACATATAGCCCTTGGTATTCCAGTGATTTTCCCCTTCAAACCACGCAGCTTTCAGTAATAATTGCAATAGAATAAAATTCTTTAAAACAATTTCCAACAAAGTGGGCAAAATTCCACTAATTTCTCTAAGGTCAAGCCTGGATTTTACCCTCAGGAAACTGTCCCTGGGTAACTCCATTTCAAGTTGTTGTTTTTTTCCCTAGTCACTTGCTTTAAGCTAATAAGGGAGAAAACAGTTATATCCTGGCTCTGTTACCTAATGAATAACGGTAAAAATATGGTAACGCCAAAAAAAAAAAAAAAAAGCAAGCTATTTCCTGTGGCCAAGGCACAGGACATTTGGCACATTTGGCACAGACTTCTAGGTCTGGTAGAGAGAAGCAGAGAAGAGAGGACATGGCTGTGGCTCCCAAGAGAGGGTGATGTCAGTCCTAGAGGGCTGAAATTACTAGAGGTTCTTTTAAACATCAGATGAGGAACCACTTCAAAGCTTCCCCTGATCTCCAGCTATTCAGAAGAGTATCACTCAAACGGGTGATAATAATAAAGAGGTACATCTAAACAAAAAAATGACTCATAAGAACAATAGCAATGGTACACCAGATCTCAGGTACCATATTTATGACACCAGCCTCTTTTGCAGGGTGTACGTGTTCTCCTCTCTACCACTCATGGATGTAAGCCAAAGAAGTGACAAGAGACCTGGGTTTCAGGGCTGAAGCTGAAATATTAAACATAAAACTAGCTAACAAGCTCACCATAATCCAGAGCAACAGCAACGACCAGAGAAACAAAGTATCAGAGCTGTTTTTCTGCCTAGTGCCACTCTGCCACAAACCTTACAGCAAAATATATTTCTTGGGCTTTGTAACTAACAGCACTTGAAATGGCCCCGCTGTGGGAGCGTTTCAAATCGTATTTCTGCTGCTTGTTTGGGTTTTCTTTTGCATTTCTTCAGTTCTGTACAATAAAAGGATATTGGTCCTACCTTCCTTTCTGCTTCTGAAATGCAGTAAACTGTTACTGAAATGGCCTCACTGAAACTTGGAAATAGCATGAAATATTTTCAGCTGCTCTCTCAGGAAGGATCCCAGCTTTTATTGCCTCACTTTCCTCTAGTGGGAATGTGTCAATTCATGTCGAAATAAAGGTTTAGAAAAATCTCATACCATTAAGCTTTATTTTTAGTTCATAATTACCCTTAAAATTCTTATCACCAAACAAAAACATGTTTTGATCTATTTCAGTCAAGAAGGTACTTTGTAGTGCAGGAAGAAAACAGAATGTGCACTAGAGGGCAAAGTAAGATTATACACAAGTGTAGGAATTGTAGGTGAATGCATAAGGTATATTTTGACAACACAGTGTTTCAGCTCTAACGGTGTGCTGATTATCAACAAACTGCTATAGGGCTCACAGGCAGGAACTGAAAGAAAAAATAACTATTCTTGAAAGAACAAAGATCTCAGGGATGATGGACAGGAGCTCATAAACCATCATTTGATTTCAAGTAATTTTTGTCCACCTGTGAGGTAACAGAAAGTGTTTGTATTGGGACAATGTATAGAACACCCTGAAAGCAGCCATGGTAACTTGCAGTGGTGGCTGTGGTGGACCAGGCAGACCAACAACAGGGTTGAGGGGTGTGGTTTGGAGAAGGGATCAGGAAATGCTCGTGGGGAGACAGCACCCATGGGCTGCTGCTTCCCACCAGTCCTCACACCTCCCAACTCAGGCCAGCCCTTATCAGGGGTAGCTGTAAACTGTTCTCCCCCTCCCAGCTGTGGAAGAACTCTAGATCCTTCTGGGGAGTAACCAGAGGGGACACCTACAATTGAGGGTGACAAAAATACAGAATAAACATTGAAAGAAAGTCAGTCCTCCATTTTGACTGGCAGAGTGAATTTACTTTGCTTCATAAATTGAATGCAAAGCAAAAAAAGGTGAAAAAAGCAAGTAAGGCTGCATTTGATACTTTCCAACAGGGTGACTGTTCTTTTTCATATAAAAAAAAATCTTCCTACTTATCCTCAAACATGCAAGGATGAATCATTTATACCAGTGTTTCCCACACTTCTACTGACATCAAGAAATCCTAGAAAGGTGCGAGGTCTTTTTTTGGTGCTGAGGGTTCCTAAAGGAGTGAACTCTGCCAGGGAAAGCAAGGACAACTTTCTTCTCAGCCTGCAGACATGTCAGTGCCACAGCCTAGCGGTGGACCCCACACTGCAGCAACGCCCTGCCAATCCCACCTGGCTTCCAAACACAATTTAGGCTCTTCGTTGCTTGTGTCCTGGATGAATTCCTTTTCTCTCCGTGCAAGATTAAAACTGAGATCCCCAGCTCATGTGAACTAGCAGCCCTCTGGTTTAATTTCATGAGGGCTGAGAATGAAGCAATGGTAAAGGATGAGTAGATGAGCACAGCGAAATTAATGTCCTGGCACACAGTTCTTTCCACAAGAGGCTGCAAGGTTGATTTGTTCTCTAAGACCAAGAGCCTGAGTGCTTGCCAGTTGGATCCTGAAACTATGTTACCTTCATCAATGAAGTATTCAGTCTTTCAAACAAATAATGCAATCTGCTTCTGAAACTGTGGAAGTGAACACAATTAACACTCCCCTCTGCAAAATAACTGTTGAAACACAGTAATGTACTTGCAAAGTTAAAATCCACGTTAAAGAGGTAAAATACTGAGATTTCAAAAAAGTTATGTGCCCCCTGTACACCATTTACTACCGTGCCTACTTGCTGTAACTCTTATTGTCGTCTGTATTCCTCAGGTTTCTTATCTTGGTAGGCCAGAACCTACACTATTTCCTCTGGATTTAGCCCGAGTACTGTGTGTTACAGCTCATTTTCCCAGAATGGAAATATCTTGACAGACATGTTTATACAAAACAGAAAGCTTGTCTCCTATAAAAAAAAATAAAAAAATAAAAGAAGCCTGTTCGACTTAAAATATTTTTTAAAACTTTATTCTCTCTTTAAGCAATTAATCTTGAAGTCTGTTAATCTTCAAGTCTCTTTAGGTTCAAGGTATGCTCTGTTCTTGTTTCTACATTTTGGGAAAAGCATTTCTTGAACAGATCTTTTCTTGTGACTATAATTTTTTAATAGTTAAAAATAAGCTCCTGCTGCTTGTAGTAGAACTCGTGCTGTTGTCCTTGGTACAAGCAATTTGTCACAGTGTCAGACGCTGGAAGCACGAA